TAATAATCACATAATTATTAATAATACATTGTCATGGTATATACATTATATTTAAAAATTGTACATATATGTAAAATAGTATTATAGTACATTGTAGCATATGTAATATATAATGTATTTATATGTTTAATATATATGTTTTTATTTGATTTGTTTATAAATTTTGTATTTATATTAGATTTTAGTTAGTATCTGAATAGCAAACATTAATTGTAGAGGTGAAGAATATATATATATATATATATATATATTATATATATATATATATACAGTATATAAAAGCAATAAGCCATTTTGCTTAACACTGCTTTCTGTTTCATGCTGTAATGCATGTATTGTTTGCCGGCTTATTACTTTTATTTTATGCTGGTTTGTTCAATTGTTTCTCCACTTTGACAAGGCTCAGTGTTTCATTTCATAGGTGAGTGTTTGCAGCTAGAGCCAAGACAGTCATGAGTCTCTCTCCACTCATCTGTTTCCTATCAGACCTGCTCTCACTGCCAACCTGTCAACCTCACCCTCTCTCTCTCTTCCTCTCCTTCTTCGAGATGTTTTTTTTTTTTATCATTGCCTAATCCTCTTCCGTATGCATCAAACGTATACTTTTTGTAAGATCCTGTAAAATGACATTTCTAAATTATATTCTAAAGTTAAACTAAATTTAACTTAAGAATATAATGTTTTAAATAATATTATGATTGTTTTTATTAAAATGAATATTATTTAAAGGCAATACAGCACATACCACCATGAAATGTATAAATACTTTAAAATGAATTATGACCATTTTTGGTGCAAAAAAAAAAAGAATCATTTAAATAGCATACATGAACCTTAATGCAGGGGGTGGGGGGAGTAGAGACTATTTCTGAATTATTTTACCTTTCTGTTTGACCTGCTTTGAAACTGGTCCATATGAGGGGTTTTTTTATTCTCAGCCATTTTTGAGGCTTGGTCTCTGAAGGTCCCCGGGATTCTCTTGGGACAAATAACCTACTTATCTAAAAATAACCATCAGTCCAAAGGAGTGTCCACATCAGTTCACTGTCTATGGCTTTATTCTGGCATGCTTTTGAAAGCCCTGATCAACGTGGCTCCTGTGAAATGCATCTTTGCTGGATGGAAAAGTTGTGTTAATATATTATAATGCAGTGTTGCCAGAAAACTGACTCACAGAAATCCCTGTCTAGCAAAGTTTAGTTGTCCTGCTGGGGTCTAAGTGTGTGAGAGAGTATTTGAGAAGATTCATGTTGCTGTTCTTTAACCCCTCTAGTTATGCTGGGCTAATATAATCGATTCAGCAGATGGTGGCAAATATTAGATTAAACCTTCTAAATATCATTAAGCAGAATGTAACAGTCAGATTACAAGTTCGTGTAAATTGTGCGAAAACATATCTAGGTCACATTTCACCCCAAAATCAAAATAAGAAATTATATTACATAAGAAAATATTGTTACACTTTACTTGAAGGGGTGTGCATAAGACTGACATGACACCTTCATAATCATGACATGACACCTGTCATGAATATGAAGGGGTTTTTATGCATGTTTATGACAACTGTCATTAAGTGTCATTCGCTCAGTTATGTAATTTTTAATGCAAAGATGACATTGTTTGAGATGTCTTTGTTATGGGCTATGGTTAGGAGTAGGGTTAGGTCAAATAATGTCATATTTGCATTAAAAATGACAACTGAGTGAATGACACTTAATGACAGTTGTCATAAACATGCATAAAAAAAAAATGTGTCATGTCATGATTATGAAGGTGTCATGTCAGTCTTATGCACACCCCTTCAAGTAAAGTGTTACCAAATATATTATTGTCACTTTAAAAAAAAAAAAAAACTTTTTTACATTTACACATTTTTGCATGATCATTGTTATCCAACAGGTGGTGGCAATATTACATTAAACCTCCTAAATACCATTCTGCAAAATATAAGAATCAGATTTGAATGTTTTTTTTTTTTTACCTGTTCATCTGAATCTCATGAAAAATGATCACATTTCACCCCAAAGTTTAAAGGGGAGAAAAGTAATAAAAATAAAATGTATAAAATAGTTTTGTTGTTTTTATTTTAATTATTGTAGTTTTATTTCTGTTACTTTTAGTGATTCTCATTACTGTGATTACTGTGAATTTATTCTCTATTATTTATATTTCATGTTTTTATTTTTTATCACAGTAATGCAAATTAAAATTTTTACAGCATGGTAGTGAGAGTTTAAGGAGAAAAGTTTTTAATGGTCATGAAAATAATCTCACAACACAAAATAATCAAATTTTTTCCCATTGCACACATTAGAAACTTTTATGTTCACCTGACACATTTTCAGCAATAATCATAGTATTTTTAGGATTTTGTTTGTTTTGGGGAGAAATACGACCCAGTTGTGCTACTAACAAGGTTTCATGAAATTCACCCCTAGGCCGACATGACATTTAAAGGATACTGATGACCTACAGTGGGCTTAAACACTGGCCTTGTTTTTGTGATGTTCTGGTACAGTGTCCAATGCTTTTAAAGAGGCCTTGGAGGGAGAACGGGGGAGGTTTCTCAGAATGAAGACGGATAAGATCTTTCTCTGTTCTCTTTCTCTCTCTCTCTCTCTCTCTCTCTCTCTCTCTCTCTCACTATCTGCGGCCCTGAGCAGTGGCCTCGCTGACCCTATCTCCTCTCGGCTCCTTGACCCCTGTGTGTGAGGTTACGGTCCGGCTTCTCCACATGGGAGTCCCGCCTGCTGTCTAAGCCCAGCTCTGTGCTCCAACCTCCAGCAGATCCAGATGAAAGGAGCATTGAGTGGCCATCCCATCACCCCAAGCCCCCCTCCATAGATGGACCAAGAGAGGGGGATGAAAGCTCCTCTGGCCGAATACAAATCCAACCAAACCCTGCTGCTAGAACTCTTTATCAAGAGATCTGCCAAGAGGACGGTCCACGTGACCCCAGTTTCCAACTGGACCCGAAGCCCCTCCCAATCCAGGCCGTAGTTCCCTCTCTGGGGTGTGGGGTGGGGTCACGTGGATGCCTATCCAAAGGTCGCAACCTCTTGACTCTCAATTAGCACTCTCTGTATTCAACGCTGCTCTTGTTTCTGAGGTCGGGACTGATGGAAAAGTGGAGATGGGTGGTGGGCGGCACTTTGCAACACAATGCTTCAATTGGCGGCCCATGCGGCTTTCCTGAGCGGCGCTGTAAACAAGCTCAAAGAAAAGGATTAGTTAAGAGCCACTGAAGGCTTTGATTGACTTAATCTGTCTTTAGGGGATAGGAAGTTTGATGGGGTTTTAAATGCTCCGAGGACGACCCCAGCTCCACCTGGCCTCATGAACGGAGGCTTGCGGCTCAGCGGGGATATGTCAGGAGGTCTCCACCTATAAATCAAATTCGACCTGACATTTATCCCAAGGAACAAGCCTTTGGCTATATTCCACAGAAATGAGGCAGGGAAGATAGTATAATTAATTTATGAACCATTCGTCTGGCTTTGACACAGTGATTCATGTGTGTGCGTTTGATGAAAGGAATCATAGCCGACTCTTAAAAAAAAAAAACACGCCTTGTATGATATTTATCTTGTTTTAAACCTGCTTACCCTCATATGATTGATCTCGGCTTTTTTTAGAGCATGGGAACGATACTGTGATGTCACTCTAAGAAAACGCATAAAGCTGAAGGAATGCTGAGTGCTGTTAACACTGTAGCACTGTAGTCAGCACTTCCTTTACATTAAAGAACATCATCTGTCTCATTTGGTTCAAGCCCAGTCGGGTCATGAACAACCTCATCTTTGTATTTATTCTTTGTCGTTTCCGGTCATAAATCGTGGATTTCCAGATTCAGTTCCAGTTCAATTAGACGCCAGTTCAGTTGGAAATATATTACTTAGTCAATTTATTTCGACTTATCACATGATCTTTCAGAAATTATTCTAATATGCTGATTTGGTGTTGAAGAAACACTTTGTATATATCATTCTGTGAAGGGCCCATCAGACTGATTCAAAAAATAACTCCTGAGTTTTGGAGATGATTCATTACAAGCTCAAAAGAGTCATTTGTACTTGAATCCATGAATTAGACTCATTTGGCTTTGCTGTATTTTTTTGCTCTCCAAAAAGAACCAGTTTAAAAGAGTCATTTGTTTGTATATCATTTAATGCTAGTTCTGCTCCATTTTGATTCAACAAACAAAACAAACAAAAAAAAGAAAGAAACTGTTTAGAAGCTATTTGTTTGTGAATCCAGCACTGCATAATGCTGTTCTGCCATTTTCACTGTTGAACAAGGTTGCGATTTTAAATCACAAGATCATTGTATTCCTCACTTGAGGATAAAGAACATTTCACAAAGCATTTTCCTCAAATAAACCCATGCACAGTCCTCTTGTTTTATGCTTTCCAGTGCAGTCCTGTAAGTTTGGGTTTTAAAGCATGTCTGGCATTGGCTTGCAGCAGGGAAAGGTGAATGCCTCTCTTTAACATCTTGTCATGCCTTTAGGTGAACTGGGTGGAGGGTATGTGTATAACTGCGTTCGAGTGTGTAGTCTTGTGTGTGATTATGTAGCTCTAACCCAGCTGTGCTCATGTGATGTTCTCACCTCATGCTGAAGGAGAGTCAGTGGGTTTGAGTTTTCTACCCGAAACACATTAGATTTTTTTTATGCAAATGAAGACATTTGCTGAGGAGATCCTCTTTGGTGCAGTAAAATGCTGTCCGAAAGTCAACATTATTGCAATCAAACTTGACAGTTTACTTTCTAACTACAGTTATCTGTATATATGTATACATTAAAAGAAGACTTTTCATAATCTTTCATTCAAATGTAAGAAATTCTATTGTAATATAAGAATAATACAAATGACTATTCATTATAATATTTAAAATTTATTTATCTAAACCTATACAATAGCTTTGCCAGAGAAAACTGTCTGTCACTGCAGTTTTTGTGCCAATTCCATTTATTTCACCTTGTGTTTGTTTCTGCCCAGAGTTACCACAGCTGAGGAGACTTTCAGATGGGACGTTTTTTGGGGACAAGAAGAAAGGTAGTGTAAATAGTTTGGTATGTCTTGATTGCTTTCACATGCATCAGTGTAATTTGCTTCATTTTATCACATTGCCTTTTGTTTAAATTCTTTTCTTGTTGTTATTGTTGAGTTATTCACACAGTACAGCACAGAAACCTTTCCAGAGGCTTTGTAAAACACTGCCAGACAGCTTCATTCTTAACACTCCCAAACCTCTAAGCAGCCAGATGAGGGCGGAGAAAAGACAGAGTAAAACAGAGTAGATACAAGAGATCAGGAGAGGGGGGAGTTTGACTTATCTGTCCATACTGAGAGCTTCAAATGGGGTTGAGAACTCTGTTAAGTGTTTGCAGGTGTCTTCTTAGAGGAGGTTTGAAACTGTGTTTAATACATCAATCAGACATTGGGAAAAAATGACTCATGAGTGTACAGTATGTTCAATGCTCCATTCCTGCAGAATGACTGCATTCCCAAATTGTGTCAGATTTTTGCCTCTTTTATCACCTCTATCTGTCTGTTTTATTCTTCTCTGGATCTCTGGATTTGGCTTTCTGCAGCACCTGGCTACTTTCACCATCTCTGAAGGTCATGCAGTAGTTCTTCTCTTTCAGCTGAGTTTTCATTGTCTATAGTGTGATATTTTAAAGCAGCGCTGACGGAGAAGGTTACCACCTGGTCTTCTGTAAAAACAGATACCAATCTCTCCTCTGTGGGTTCTGGCACTGCTTTGAGATTTAAAGGGGGAGAGTTCACCCAAAACTGAATGTTCAGTCATCATTTACTCACCCTCATGTCGTTTCAAACCTGCATGACTTACTTTCTTCTGAAGAAATGTTGTTGTTTTTTCTTGATAAAGATGCCCAGTTTGTAAAAGGCTTGTCATCTTTTTCCTGTCATTAAGATGTGAGGAGTAAGTAGAACCTGGAAAAGACTGTTTGTGCCAGACAAGATGCTGACATACTGAGATGTCTTGTGCAAGTATAGAAATTTGGTAAAATTAGGGCGTTTGTCTTTTGAAAGGAAACGCCGCCCTTAATGGATCTATAGTATCGGATCTTTGTCTTACAGAAGCCAAAGAGACCGATTTTGAGTCTAACTTTTTGTATGTCTCCAGGTTTCATCTTTCACTAATGTAATATTTAGAAGGATTTTATGTAGTCTTTTAAGATGTGTTCTGTTTGTAGAACAAGATGAACAATGAAAACGTAATAATTCACTAAAAAATTTAAATTCACTAATTTACTCTCTTTTAATGTTAATTTTTGGTCCTCAATGAACCTTTCAGTGAACAGTTCTTAAAATAACTGTTTTTCTTAGTGTGAAGAACATTTTAATAATCTAAAGAACCTTTTTCCACTATAAAGAACCTTTTGTAGAATGGAAAGGTTCCATGGATGCTAAATGTTCTTCATGGAACTGTAGATGTCAATAAAGAACCTTTATTCTGGATTGATTAGTGATGCCAAACAGCATTTAATAATCATGAACAATCAGAACACATCTGAAAGTTTTTATGCACTTTGTGTCTGTTCCTTTCATTTATGGGTGAACTTCTCCTTTAAAAACTTCTCTTTTTTTTTATAATGTCCCCATATGACCCTTGAACACCCGGCTCTTAGAAATATTTCAAAAAGACATCCCAGTGACCAACAGCACTGTTCAGAATGTCAGAGTTGAAATAAGACAATTATCCCATTGTTGCGATGGTTTGATTTTTGTTCCAATCCTAAATTCTCCAAGGATATGCAAAGATTTTAGGCAAATGTATTTTTTGTTATGCTTGGTTTCAAACCATTTTAAACTCCCAACCGCAGAGTACAATTATGTAAATGTCATCCATTTTACGCTAGAGGCCATTTTTATCTTCTTGAGGTTGTATGTTTAAAGAAAATTGTTTGTGAAGATTTGTACTGATATCTTTTCAACAACATTCCAACAATCTGAGACTTTCCCAATACACTGATGTCTCTGTAGTCTTCAGCCAGGCCATCAAGACAATGTCTATGGAAAGACTGACGGTATTTTCTAGAATCAGTCTCCCATATTCATCCGTTACCCACATTTATATTAACACAATGTCTAGAATTTCTTTGAGGGCCTATTTTTAAAAAAAAAAGTAAGTGTTCATTTAATGCTGTTTATTCATGACACCCACTATCGTGCTCACTTGGGTCTGAATAGCTCTGGGCGGCTTACATGTACTTCAACTTAAAATAAGTTTTTGTTTCTGTTGTGGCGGACAAACTCCCACTCTCTTTTCATCTATCTGTTCCTCTGTTTTCATTCTTTCCCTTTCACTGCCTTCATTTGCTCTCTACCTCCACCCTGAGGTGTTGTAGTCAGTCTGTTGTGTTTGTAGGCCACAGGGTTTTCCAACAAGAATCTGTGCCAAACCTGGCCCATCTGCTCCACAGAGACTGTGTTTACTGCAGACGGCCATAAAGACGCACTACAGCAAGCAAACATCCCCCGAAGGTCTTTTACCTTTGAATATTTGTGTGAAATAACATTACTTATTCAGTCCTCTTTCTTGTTACAGTACAAGATGAAGGTTATCACATCAAATGTGAATGAGTTTCAGCCACTTCTCAGCATCTTAAAGGGACAGTTCACCTTCATAATTTACTCATGTTTTTCTAAACTTGTGAACACAAAAGGAGATGTTTATATCAAAATGTCCAAGCTGCTTTTTGCCATACAATGAAAGTGAATGGTGGTCATGTCTGTTAAAGGGTTAGTTCACCCAAAAATGAAAATTAGGCTGTTTTTTACTCGCCCCAGAGCCATCCTAGGTGTATATGACTTTCTTCTTTCAGACGAATCCAGTTGGAGTTATATAAAAAATTGTCTTTGATCTTTCAAGCTGTTTAATGCCACTCAGCAGGTGTTGCATGCATCAGTCCAAAAGAAGTTAAATAAAAAGCGCCCATCCATTAAAAAAAAACGTCTCACACGGCTCCGGGGGGAGAACAAAGGCCTCCTGTAGCGAATCAATGAGTTTTTGTAAGAAAAATATCCATATTCAAAACTTAATAATCACTGTAATCTAGCTTGCGCTCACTGTTGTAAACGGAAGCAGTTCCAGGCGGATGACGTATGAGGTCGGCTTTGTGCATGCGCAGCTCAGCAGTGGCGCACACGAAAACGCAGCGAAGAGATCAAAACAAAACAATGGTCACTAATTAGAAGTACAAAACGAGGATTTGTAAAGAAGAATGTCGGAGGATTTCGATATAAGCCAAGAGGAGACCTTTGCTAAAGTAAGGAAACTTTGCTTCCTTTGATCCTGAAAACAAACGTTGGTTTTGTGTATGTCATCCACCCGGAGCTGCTTCCGTGTAGGACTGTTGGCGCAAGCTACATTAAAGTAGGGCTGTGCGATATAGACAAAAAGAAACTATCGCAATTTCTTTGATCAATTTTGCGATTTCGATTTTTATCACAATTTTTGACACACACAGACATGCTTTACAGTCATAAATGCATTCAGTGTGAATTTGAAACATATTTCCAAAAGAAAACCAATTAGAGCTTTATTTTTTGCCATGCATTGGTCATAGAGCTCTTTGTGGCGTTGCCTCAATTATTGAACTAGATTTGTTGCGCCAAGTTCACATGTACTCCAGTCTGCAGTGCGTATACAGTATGTGTATGCGGTGCAGAAGCAGAAATTTCCATGCCAATCCATGTTATTTTTTAACTGCGAATAATGCGCTGTCACTTTCAGCGCGTGCAGCACAGCAGAAATAGACTCCGTGCGGAAACGATCGCAGCTGTCGGAGCGCTATCGTGTGCAGTGTGAACGTTCTGGTCCGTTAACATGGGCACGGAAGAAGAAATACGCAACACAGACGGAGTGTGTGAACCTGCCGTTACGTTTGTATGCCCGCCCGGTCTGTTCTGTTCTCGTGCTCCATTTAGGCGCGCTGCATTCTGATTGGTTCGGATAGCATACTACAGGAAGTCAGGGGCACGGAAAATTGTGCTATAAAGTGATTTAGAAATCACGCACGCTCAAATCGCGATTTTATGACGATTTCGATTAATCGCACAGCCCTACATTAAAGTGTTTATTACATTTTGAATTAATATTTTTCTTACAAAAACGCATAGATTCGCTACAGGAGGCCTTTGTTCACCCCCCAGAGCCGTGTGAGACACTTTTTTTAATGGATGGGCGCTTTTTATTTAACTACTTTTGGACTGATGTATGCAACACCCGCTGAGTGGCATTAAACAGCATGAAAGATTAAAGACCAATTTTAATATAATTCCGACTGGATTCGTCTGAAAGAAGAAAGTCATGTACACCTAGGATGGCTCTGGGATGAGTAAAACAGCCTAATTTTCATTTTTGGGTGAACTAACACTTTAAGCAAGGTTATCTGTAAATAACAACTTAAATTTTAGCACAAAGCTATTGTATGGCTTCAGAAGAATTGAATACAATGTTCTTTTGTAGTGCTTTTATGGTCTTTTTTTGTCTTTTCACATCTTGGTTGCAAACATGAACATTCTTTAAAACTTCTTTTTTTGTGTTTTATGAAAGAAAAAAAACGTATACAGGTTTGGAACAACATGAGGGTGAGTAAATGAGGACACAGTATTCATTTTTGGGTGAACAAACCCATTAATAAGGATATTGGGTCCATGTATCATCTGATAATTAAAGGAGTGTATTCCTCTTTGGAACACCAACTTTCAATTTTTGGTTCATACAGAAAAATGGAAAAACTAAATATTGACTGTTTTTACCATTTTTTGTTTGCCAGATTGAACGGAAGAATTGAATGATCGGATGATACACAGACCATATTGCCATATTTCTCGCTAGGCTTTTGCTTGTTGGCTTTTTATTGTCTTGTTCATGTTATTTTGCCAGTGCTGGCAATAGACAAAAGACAAATCACAGTCCAAATTATGACAAGCCCATATTTTCCTTGTGGAAGTGCATCACCACATGGTCTTCTTATTATAGTTGATCCATATCAAAAGTTTAGATCTGTAGGGGTTTTTATATTCATGTTATGATTCGGGCGTTAGGCGTGAAGTGGCTTTTATTAATCATCTATTGAACGAATCTGATTGTGTCAGTTTGCTTTGAACACACTCCAGTAAAACCATGTGCAGGCTGTTGAGTCTGTCCAAGCCAATGAAGCTCAATATTTGTGGGAGGGTTAATTGCAGTTCTTTCATGATTTAACAGGAGGGGCAATTAATTTTTCACGTAGGTTTGGACAGCTTTTTTCCCTTAATAAATGAAATCACCATTTAAAAACTGCATTTTGTATTTACTTGCATTATCTTTGTGTAATATTTAAATTTGTTTGATGATCTGAAACATTAAAGTGTGACAAACATGCTAAAAAATAAGGAATCAGGAAGGGGGCAAACACTTTTTCACACCACTGTATATATATATATATATATAATATTTTAAAATCTTTTTTCAGCCTCTTGTCTTGTGTAAAACATATCCTCTTATGCCATATTGCTGAGGTAGGTTTTCCTCACCAGTGACAATTCTCGAACCGCTTGAGAAAACACACAGGAAAGAGCATCTTCCTCTGTTGTATGTATGTGTGTGAGTCTGAATCGCAGCTCCCTACTGATCTCCATCAGTGTGCCCGGCGGTCCCGCTAGGGCCTCTGTCCACTCACACTTCCTCTCCTACACGCCCCATTGATCTGGGTAAATGCCCACCCAGCCTCTGTTTGCTGCCCCCCCCAAAATGCAGAGGAAATGACTGATGAATGTTTGTTTGTTTGTGTGCGTGTGTGTGCGTGTGTCACTGCCAGGCCATTGTGACTTTTATAAAAGACATTCTAATAAGCAGCTGATGTCAGTGTGTTCTGATGATGAGTTCACGGTCCCATTCAATGTCATTAACTGGAAAGCCTTCATTATTTGGGCTTAATAGGATGACTTAATTGCCTTGAAATGTCAGAATTTTTTAGCAAATGTAGCACTTGGAATGTGTTCTTTCCAAAACATGACTTATACTTACCAAAGAACTTAAGATGCAAGTATACATTTTTAATAGATATATAAAATGTAAATAAATTTATATATACAAACACACACACACACACATACATATATCCTAAACTTAGTGACCCCAAATAAGTTATGTAATTGATATCTTGTTTATATGGTGTTTTTGCATTGTTATAAGCTTATCGTTTCACCTGCCACTATTCAAATGTTGACTCATCTGTTTTCCCACAGGTGAAGACATTTTTCTGCACACAGAAGGAGGAAGTGATGTCAGAGTGATGTCAGTGAGGCTGCCCTCTGTCAAACAAGATCAAGAGTCTGTCAGCCTCAGCTCTGTTGAAGGAGATACAGACTCTTCTGCTAATGATGTGTTTTAACAGTGATGACCTTGTGAAACCTCTGACAGGAAACAGCTAAGTGCCTGAAAGGAAGGAGATGTTCTCAGCCTTAAATTATTCACATCACAGAAACTCATTTTTGGATGACAGTCAGTGCAAGAGATATAATGAACTCTCTCTAATGTCTCTTGCATTGCTGTTAAATAAATCCATATGTGCTGTTGTTTGCTGTGCGACTGTAATAGACAATATACAAATATATTTTAAACAAATCTGTATCTTTCTTTGTTTTTGCATTTTCCCACAATTTTAAACTTTTAAATTGAATTTTTCATCATTTGTCATTTGTCGGGTTCTTTTGTCCAAGCGGGGCTGTTCTCTGTCATGGTAATGGCAGCCCAGTGCATTACTTCATTAAAGAGAGGGTTTTCACATCATTAGTCTCAGACTGCTGTTTCTCCCATTACAGGGGGAGATAGAGCGAGATAGCCGCTATCAGATGCTGCTTTGCAGTGTCCTGCACTGATGATGCCTGTCTAATAAGCATCCTGTTTCTTTCAGCACTCAAGACATGATAAAGTCTGAGAGAATGAGTCGAGGCTGTCTCGCAGAACCAGACTTATATCGCCATAAAGTCTGGTCCATTTAACAGCTCATTCTGGCCTAGAATCACCCACAGTTTTTGGTTAACAATAGGCCAATATTTAGTAAAATGGCTAGTTCATTCAAATAAAAAATATTGGAAAAATTAATAAGCACTGGTTATTTCAAAGCCATAACTCTGAAAACAAAACACAAATACACACAGTAGCTTGTAGTTTAGATAAATTGCTTGTATTAATGCAAAAATATGTGCTATTTGAGCTGTAAAGTTGTTTGAATCAACGTTTCTATTCAAGTAAATTGCTGTTTATGACTTGCAGAATTAATTCCTGGTTTGCTCCATGCACACTGTCTTTCTGGTTTATTTGTGTATTGTGTGAAAGTTACAGGGTTTATCAGCTTTCCATGAACCTGAGTTGAAAATGTGGATATAATGTTTGCACAGACAAGGTTAGTAAGCCATTTTATTACACTAGTCTCATGTCACTAGTACTGTAATTCTTTAGTTTTTACCAATGCAGAGACAAGAGTTATTTTCTATGATATTCAACAGTGACTCAAATGTATTCCAAGTAGCAGCCTGGTACCTTGTAAATGTAATTTTGTTTCCCAACAGTTCAATAAAATCCTGTAAAATTGCATAAAACCAGCCAATCGGATTGGAGCTGAGAGATTTTAGAAAACCGTTTCAGTTTTTGTCTACAGTATGCATCAGACAGACAGTATGTGGTCTGCCAGCATACCATCTGAGACTTTAATGGAAGAATCTTGATCCATCTTGACCTTGGTGCAAGAACTCCCAGCAGATTGTGTTCAAGAATAAAATGATAACTGAAAGTATTGTTTTCAGTCTCGTGTCAGAGCACTAAGGCACCAAATAACCCTCTATCCACTCTTCTCTGGTTTTTCTGCAGGTATAAGAAGAGGAACCTTGTAAGGAGGACTGGAATCTATATATAAAGAGCTCATCTGGGAAAATGTTAGGCTTTCACAGCTGTAGAGCAGCCAATGGAGCGATAAGTGCAGATGATAAGAGCAGCCAGAGCAGGGCTGGAAATGAAGAAGCTAATGGTGTGATGTGATGCTGACCAGAGACACAAGTGATTCGGTGATACACAGCTGCTCTGAAGAAACGTTAAGTAGTTTTTCAGTTACTCGTGGTTAGTTGCAATGTATATGCATTTGTGGCATGCTGTCAATTATTACAGTAAAAATAGGTACAAATTATTATTATAATTTTTTTTAAATATTATTATTATTATAAAAAAATACAATTATTTAAATGAATTATCTAAATCATATTTTGGAGTAACTCTTGCAGAAGATGTTTGCAGAAATTGGCGTTGTCAGAGTAGAATACTAGTTTATTAACTATAGTTATGAGGTATACACTGTACTATGAAGTAGTTTTTTTTGTAAATAACATATTCAGTAATTCGTTTTTCAAACATTAGTATGCAAAATTACTTAACCTCATCAAATTGCATGTAATTGGCATCTAGTTATGATGGAAAATTGTTCATTTTTAGACTTAAGACTATTTATCATTGTCTGAGTACAACGAAATTTAGAGTGGCGACAGTAAACATTAAACACATAATTGAAACATACACCTTGAGTAACATATTGCACATTAGAATAACATTATAAAAATATTAAAATGCATATATTACATGTCCTTTCCCATCTTTAATAACTATTAAAATTGTCCATAATTATTATGGAAAAGTAAAAGTAGTAATACGAGGAAAACAAAAAAAACTGTTCTGTAATCTATTTGTCCTGGATCTAAAAGCCCTGTACCTCTTCCCAGGGTGTAAATGGACAAACATTCTGTATCCTGGGTGAGTGTGATCCATAATGATAATGCTGGCCTTCGGGCGTAATCGACTGGCATAAACAGTATCCAGGCTCGGGAGCTCAGTGCCTATTATCCGCTGTGCAGTTTTAACCACATGACAGTTCTCTGCGATTTTCCCCAGTGCAACTTGCGTACCACACAGTAATCCCATAGACTAGCACACTCTCTATAATACAATGATAACATTTTCACTAGGAGTTGTGTGGACCGCCTAGCCTGCTTCATTTTTTAAGACTATTTATCATTGTCTGAGTACAACGAAATTTAGAGTGGCGACAGTAAACATTAAACACATAATTGAAACATACACCTTGAGTAACATATTGCACATTAGAATAACATTATAAAAATATTAAAATGCATATATTACATGTCCTTTCCCATCTTTAATAACTATTAAAATTGTCCATAATTATTATGGAAAAGTAAAAGTAGTAATACGAGGAAAACAAAAAAAACTGTTCTGTAATCTATTTGTCCTGGATCTAAAAGCCCTGTACCTCTTCCCAGGGTGTAAATGGACAAACATTCTGTATCCTGGGTGAGTGTGATCCATAATGATAATGCTGGCCTTCGGGCGTAATCAACTGGCATAAACAGTATCCAGGCTCGGGAGCTCAGTGCCTATTATCCGCTGTGCAGTTTTAACCACATGACAGTTCTCTGCGATTTTCCCCAGTGCAACTTGCGTACCACACAGTAATCCCATAGACTAGTACACTCTCTATAATACAATGATAACATTTTCACTAGGAGTTGTGTGGACCGCCTAGCCTGCTTCATTTTACATTCTAGTGTATATTGTAAATTGTTATTGATCATTGTATTTTATTTATGAAAAAATCTAATTTTACATGTGGAAATTAACTGCTGTTAATTGTTTTTATTGCATCTGATTTTATTTTTATATTTTACTTTATTAAGAAATTTTTCTTCCCCATGTTGATATTTGTAACCCTAACTGTATTATTAATTGCTTTTTTTTGTATTTTATTTTATGAACTCAGTCTAATTTTACTTGTAAAAATGAACTACTATTAATCTTTTAATTTATTTTATTGAACTGAATTGAAATGTTTTCTTTCCCACGTTGATGTATGCAAACAGGATCTAGTGAGGATCTAGTTTTCATTGTTGTTGTTATTATTATTATCAAAAACCTCAGTAGACAATATGTACAATGGACCGATAATGCTGTGGACCGAAGTATTTTATTGGGTAGAGTTATCAATATTTCTGGTCTTTTTTGCTGGAAGATAAACTGTTCATCTGCTAAAAGTTCAGCTTTAGAAGTGCATTAGTATGCATATGCCCTCATAGCTGGACTAAAATGGACCGAAAGCCTCAAAACTCCAATTTCATACAGCGTTTGAATGTTACATTAGCACAGATGCTTTAAAGTTGTAGAAGGAAGAGTGTTACGCCACATATCTGGTTGAAAGTAGGACATTCACAGACCTTTCTGACTATCATTGACCAGCTTTGGTAAAGATTTCTTGGTTTATTTCACTACTAGAGCAAGGTGACGTTGAGTAATGATGTTTGGGGTCATGATAAGAAGCACAAAGAACCTCCCTGCCCTCTCAGACCAGAGAGTTTTAAAAGATAAATGGCTTTTTTGGAAGATTTAGGCCAGTTTAGTGTGTCACCGCTTTGTTGCTGTCCCTCCGGTGATTAATTACTGCCATTAAGCTTCAGGATGGTGGGGACTGTACCCCGGTGACCCTCAGTACTGAACACCTGCCAAACAGATCACTCCTTCACGTCAGACCTCCAAGCCTCCACCTGCTGAGACACTCACCAGTGTCATGTCCACCTCTTTCTGGTTCCTAATATTTTTTAATTGGCTACTCTATAAAGCACAATCACAATAGAGCTTTTACTCTCTTTGATGGCAGAGTTTGGCTTGTTTGGTTGGAATTCAGAATTCAGTGTGCACCTACGGACTGGTTCCACTTCATAGATGCCAATAAAGAATCTCTGTTTAGAGTGCAGTATGTTTCAGTGTTAGTATGAGCTCAATCTAATTTTACTTGTGGGAATTAACTGCAATTGCTTATGTATTTAATTGCATTTTAAAAGAATTCTCACAACTTTGAAGAATGCCTTTGTAAATAGTCCCATTATTGCATTAAGATGATTGCATTAACTTCAGCAGCTCAAGTATCTCAGCACCGATGGGGAGTTGGGCTTATTTAATGAGACTATTAACTTCTAGTCAAATGTGAGAGTTTGTTTGGACACAGTGCAGATTTCTTGGCCAAGGGTTGCGCCGCTGGGCTAAATGCATGTTAATTGGTGTTTGGGAGGGGTTTGATTATCTCGCTCTGGGGTTTTAATGGAGCCACAGTGGATAAGAGAACCGCAGGGGAGGATGGGTACTGGACACTAGCAAAAAGGATTCTCCGTGAGGCTGTGAAGACGTTTAAAAAAAAAACTTTCTTAAAACATCCATTCTCTTCTGTTGTTGCTCTCGCACTGCAAATACGACTGCAGCTACAATGTGTTTGCTAATGGCTCCTCGTTCGGCCTGAGATTAATTATGCAGCGTAAGGTTTGGCGTCCAGTCGAGGGCTACAGATGGAAGCTGTCTGTGTGTGTTTATGGAAATCAGGCTGCGTTCACACTGCCAGATCAGATGATGGATGGACATACAGTTTCCTTGGCTCAGATCGAGTCTAGGACGGCCGCATTGTTCCAGCCATAGTGATACAAGCGAGTTAGAAAGCATTGATTTGTGGGAATGGTGGTATCAGGACACATCCATAATAAACGTTGTTTTTTCTGTTGATGACCTTAGGTGATGATGCTCCATTATCAATTATGCAGTCATGAATGGTTTGGACATGTAAACGTATTGCTTCTGGGAGTTTGACTCAGCTAAAATGCAAAAAGGATTGATTTTAACCCTTCTGTCGCTGCCGAAGTGCCTGAAGATGTGCAAATACGTATAGTGTTCAATAAGCTGCCTGTCGTTTTTACACTATAGCATAGTGTTCTGTGTCTATGTTGGCGTCATCAAAGGCACCGATGTCCATTTGATTTTGTATGAGGTAAAGGCTGAGGGAAGCAGATGTCTCCAGATGTTTGCTTTGAGTGCAGCC